TCTCTCTCTCTCTCTCTCTCTCACTTAATCACGATGACCTTTACTTATCTGACGACTGACGCGGTGCAGCCTGTTAAGTGTTGAATGTGAAAACTTGATAGGGGCGTGCTAGATTGCAGCCTTTTTTCTCTCGTTGCCCCAGATTCGTAACCCGCGCGTTTTGCAACAGGGGCGACGGCGTTTTATTGGGCAAGAAAACAGCTTCTTTTAGAAATTAAATGCGTTGGCACCTCACTATGGTCCACCGTAGGTGATAATGACACACATACTTACAAATCTTTAAACTGCCAATGCTCTGAAGGCATAATGTGCATACAATCGCAAAGGGGGACCAAACTCAAATTAATAACACTGAAAATCGCGGACTAAACTGGATAAACAGTCATTGAGCAGTGGAAAACGAAACCTTTTTTTAACTTTCATATGAATTAAACAAAAAAAATTAAAATAATGACAAATCAAATTATCATACCAATTTTCACTATGATGCCAGTTTTTAAGAGCTGGATATAAATTAGCACTTCCCCTGAACTACAAGTTTGTTTCTGATTGAAGTAAGGCACAGTGTTAGGGATATTCCCACAGGTTCTATCGGTTTCGGTTTGTTTGTTTATTTGTTTATTGTTAGTTTGTTTTTTGGTAAGTGTTTTCCCATCGCTTGCAACTGCATAAAATCACAAGTTTGGGCTTACAAGCAGCGACCATGTACACTACGAACTTTTTTTCATTCTCAAATGACTCCCTCGTCGTCGAGAGCCAAGTTTCAAACACACCAGTTTCAACAATTGTTGTGGTTCCGCCTATGGATACCCGTGACATTGCAGTGAGGTGTTCTACGACACTTCGCTTATCGACGGTAAAATACATGCATATACTTACCCTTAAGAGCGACCATTCGGCCACAAACGCTTGAAGACGCATAACTTCGTTATTTATAGAGAATTTTCAAATCTGATTTTTTTAATTTTTGTTGCCTAATAGTTAAAAAGGTGGGCCACAACGTGCATTCCAGGAAATGTTACAAACTCGTATTTCTAATTGGTTTATGAAGTTTCGAATTGTTCGCATTGCCTTAATTACATATGATAATGTGCCAGCTATGTCCCGAGCGAGTTTAGGTGTTAAGCAAATACCGTAAACATGAAAAAATTAGCGATTAACAAACAAACCGTAGAAACATGGAGCAGACTGAGAATAGAATGTTTTGATTTACTAAGCGTTTTACAGCACCTGCAACACGATTATAAAAGCCCAGAGAATAGAAGGGTGCTCGTAAGACATGTTAAAAAGTGGAAGTCTTAGTGGGGTTTTTATTACGCTGTGTCATTGTCCACTTACAATCGTCCCGAGAAGGCAAAAAGTCCTTATGTTTGTTACTTTGACAAGGAGTTGATCTTCCTCGAAAGTACTTTAAAATAAAGATGCACCTGATTTTTCTCGAAAATAAAATTAAACACCCCCAATAATAATAATATAAATCTGCTGAATTGTGCAAATAAATCACTTTTTATTTAGTTTTCTTTCCAACTTTTCATTACACTTTTGACTATCGTAGAATTAAACAATTCTATTTGACATTTTTTAACCGTTTTGAGTTACTAAGACCATGGGTCAGAAACCAAATGTCCCATCTGCTCTATCAAAATTTAAAGATTATTCTGAGTTATTTTCAAGATAGTCAACGAATTTCATTCGAAAAAGCTTGATCTTGTAGTGAAACTCAAAATGTTTAACTTCAAATTTATCTAAACTAGATGCTGAGTAGATAGGACTTCGTAATTCAATGGCAGCGCTTTATCTACAGGAGGTGATGTGTGAAAGGAGGTTTACAGTATTATATGCACAGTTGCGGCTTGTACGCTATTTTATTATTCTTTTATTTTGTTGTAATTTTTGTTTTTGTCTTTGCTGTGGGAGGCCTTGCTGTATTTTAAGATACCCACTTCTGTGCGCTGTGCAGTAGCGTCTGTTCTTGTGTTCAATTGATCCTGTATAACACCGAGACGTCTCCTTTGCCTCAGGTAAGTAGGCTAGAATGGCCAGCTTATAAACATGCTGAAGTTCCAAGATGTAGACCATTGTCTCTCGGCTGAGTAAATGCATTAAAGCTTCCACGAATAATCAAAGTATGAGCAAGAAGGAAAACGCGTAAAAAAGGACTCAAAGTGGATTTATTTGGGACAAAAGTTCAGATTTGTGTAACATAAATTGTCGACATAGGCCTTAGATTTATTTGTCGTTCAACCTCACAACTACTGGGTTAAAACAGGGCTGGGTTAAGGTCTACAATCGCTACTTTTATGTGCTTTACATTACTGGCCCGACCTTTCCAAAATTACATTTATATCGTTCCCGTTACTTTTATCTCTCTCTTTTTTAAATGTAACATATTCTTGTCTACTTTTGTTAATCAAAGCTCGTTCACATGACTCCTCTTAGACGAAAAGAAAAATAATAGTGTCTCGAAAGGTCTGGGGCTATCTCGCTGCTACAAGAAAGCTCAAGAATAAACTATGAATGACACAATAAAAACTATGAGAGGATGTTTGTGCTTATCCAAACTTGAGTGAGGTATGTGCATCGTAGTAGTAGTAGTAGCAGCAGCAGCAGCAGCAGCAGCAGCAGCAGCAGCAGCAGCAGCAGCAGCAGCAGCAGCAGTAGTACTCTAGTAGTAGTAGTAGTAGTAGTAGTAGTAGTAGTAGTAGTAGTAGTAGTAGTAGTAGTAGTAGTAGTAGTAGTAGTAGTAGTAGTAGTAGTAGTAGTAGTAGTAGTAGTAGTAGTAGTAGTAGTAGTTATTATTGTTGTTGAAGTGGTAGTTATTGTTGTTGTTGTAGTTGTTGTTGTCTTCAACTCACCCATAATGTTAAAACTTAAGTTGGTTTATGCGTCTCTGACAAGGGATACTAGTTTGTTAAGTACCTAAGAGTTCCCTTTGTCCGTTATCTTCAGGAATATACTTCTGTTTTGCTTTTACTAAATAATACCCTTAGAAAGTTACTTTTTTTTTCTTTGCTCGAGTTATGATTAATAACCTTTACTCCCTCTCTACTCGCATCACGTTTTGACTGTCACTCACCAAGTTACAGTAGTAAGAACAAGAATTAGACTTCCAAGTTCTTCCCTTCAGGCAACTTTTATATTCTGTTTACCACGCTCCGGCAGCGCCGACTCTGCTTGCTTGGCCACGTGCATCGCATGCCGGATGGAAGAATCCCAAACGACTTATTGAACTGTGAGCTGGCCTCCGGAAAGCGAGCGCAAGGGTGCGCCCATCTTCGCTTCAAAGATGTGTGCAAGGGAGACATGAAATCGTTCAATATGGACACTGGGAGGTGGGGAACACTGGCTTTCGATTGCGACAAATGGAGACAGACGCTGAGAGCTGGTCCCGTCAGAGGTGAAGCCCGACTCCGACAGGCTGCTGAGGACAAATGCCGTCGCCAAAAGAACAGCCAGAGGCTACCAACGCAGGAAGACACCACTCATAAGTGCAGCCACTGCAACAGGGACTGCCATTCCCGTGTGGGCCTGTTCAACCACAGCAAGCGCTGCTCTCGATCCTGAAATCTCCTACGGCTCAGATCCATAGTCTCCTGAGACTGAAGGATGCCATACCATACCATACATTATGAAAGATACTCTTGACTTGATAGTAATGCTAGCTCCTTTATCGTCAGTGGTTCTCGTGGGGCTAAGGGGTTCAGGATTCCAAAGTTTAATACATGTACTAAAGTGCTGCAGTCACTGATCTGTTACCCAACCTATAAAAGAAGAACATATTTTAGTTCATGATATTCGAAATATACCCAAAAAAGCTATGTTGTCGGTCTTACAGAAATCTGTTCCCACCCCGGTTTTTCTTTTCGTTTTAACATAATAATATTCAGTCCAGCACGCACGTAGCGAAATCAACGGGACGCAGAAATCTTTTAGTCATGTGCGAATTTCATTATGTAAGTACACTGTTTTCCAAGACCTGAAAAACTTCGTAATTTACGTGTTTCGCTATGTACGTGCTAGATTATTACATATTATGTAATTTGGATTTTTTTGGTTTTGTTCTGTTGGTTCTTTGGTTTCGATTGCTGTTTTCCTCTCTGCCAACAGACACCAACATACGGAGAAAAGTGAATACAATGGCTTCGACTGAAATCCCTGCTACTCAGAAACAAATTGTTGTGAAGAAACTGGGTGTGAACTTCCGTGATGTGACAAGGATTGAGGAAGGGCCTGTACCGTCTCCTGAGAAGGAGCAGATCTTAGTCAAGAACAAGTACGTGGGCATCAACGCCTCGGACATCAACTTCACCAACGGTCGCTACTTTGACCTCCAGCTGCCGTGTGCAGCTGGTATGGAAGCGTTGGGGGAGGTGGTGAGAGTGGGAGAAAACTCCAAGTTCAAAGTTGGTCAGTATGTAGCTTACATGAATCCTGGAGCTTTCGCGGAGTACACGGTGGCCGCTGATGCTGTATCTGCTCACGTACCTTCTCTCGAGGCTGAACAGCTAGCCATGTTTGCCAGCGGCTTGGCCGCGGCCGTTGCGCTGGACAAGGAAGCAGATCTGAAGGCAGGGAAGACGGTTCTAGTCACGGCGGCTGCTGGAGGGGCCGGGCAGTTTGCTGTACAGATAGCGAAACTGGCCGGATGTCACGTGATTGGAACGTGCTCTACTGAACGTAAAGTCGCCTTCCTTTCTCAACTGGGTTGTGATCGTGTTGTGAACTACACGAAAGAAAATCTCAATCTTGTTCTGAGTTCGGAGTACCCGCAAGGGATCGATGTAGTCTTCGAATGTGTCGGGAAAGAACTTTTCGACGCCGCGCTGAAAAACCTTGCTCGCTTAGGCCGCATCGTTGTGATTGGTCAAATATCGTGCTACCCTGAAAACGAGGACAAAAACACGTTCGAGGAGCTCAAGTTTGAGTCTGAGGTCTCCATCCCTTTGACTTTACTCGTCAAATCGGCCAGTTTAAGAGGCATGATTCTCACAGACTACTTTGGTGAAATTCAACGTTATGTGGATACCCTGGTGGGGCTCCGTGAGCAAGGGATGATCAAAGCATTCGCAGACAGGGGCGAAGACGCTCCCAGCGGTCCTTTCGTGGGACTAGAGAAAATTGTAGACGCTGTGGAATATCTGTATTCACGAAAAAGTGTAGGAAAAGTCATGGTTGAACTTTAATATGACTGAATACTCTGATCCATCATTAGTAGGCCGTGACGTCACACAAAAGTGTCATCGACGGAACACGCGGAGCTGTCGCCAGAATATCCAACATGTTGAAACCACCGGTTTGGCCTCAAGGCTTAATTTTTTCTAGCAGTTTTTCACCATCTTATATTATATGGTTCTACCGCCAGGCTTACCTTTCCATTCCCAGCCGGCAGTTTGGAACATAAGCGTAGGGCCTTTTTGTCTGATTTATTCATCATCCTCATTTTCTCTTTAGGTATGCCCAGGATGGGCCATTGTTCAAGTTTAAAGGTTCATCAGTTGTAGGGATGTCAATTAACGTCTACCTGTACACCTGTTTAAAAAACATGTCTTGTTTGATTGTGTATATGTGTGTGTGTATGTGTGTGTGTGTGTGTGTGTGTGTGTGTGTGTGTGT